ACCCTTATGCTTGAACATGGTGTTCATTATGGACAAACTGTGACTAGCACAGAAGTCCAATAACAAAACACCACTCGGGTTCAGATCGGGGGGGTCGTTCCTCCCAATCACGCCCCTCCAGGTGTCACTGTTGCTGCCCACGTGGGCGTTGAAGTCCCCCAGTAGAACAACGGAGTCCCCAGTCGGGGCCTTTTCCAGCACCCCTCCCAGGGACTCCAAGAAGGCCGGGTACTCTACACTGCCATGGGTGAAGGGATTTGTGTCAGACCTAAAATTTACTGAGCACTACAATTTCGCGGGTTTGTACACAGTCTTAAAAACTACAAATCCAGGAAATTCAAACTCGCATGTTTTTGTGTCTGCAGCATCTGGCATGTCTTCTATGTCAAAGGCCAAGTCTCAGAGCTTTGATCCTTTTGCTGACCTAGGAAACCTGGGCTCAGATTTACCAGGTAAGAGGCTTGGTCTAATATCAGCTATCTGTAATGGTGCTACTGTGCTGACATTAAGCAGTGATCCAAAATGGGGGAAATGACATTAAAAGAGAAAAACTTGACTTGAAATGTACTAAATTTATCTCAAGTAATTAATTATCATTCCGTCGGGTTTCATATAGGTTCCTCCACCAGTAATTTGTCTGGGCCAAAGGCTCCCTCCTCCTCCAATGTTAAGCCTCAAGCCCAGCCCTGGCAGTCTGGAAGACCCAATTCGGCTCAGAAAAAACCTTGGACACATGGATCAGGACCTGGCCCCACACCCAAAGCGTCCTCAGCATCTCAGCCTGCAGGCATACAGCCCACCAAGCCCAACTACAACCTTAACTTCTCTAGTGTCATTGGTGGGAGAGAGGAGAGAGGAGTTCGTGGGCCTGGATTTGGTATAAAACATTTGTCATGTCTCTAGTCTGAAGTGTGGTGTAAATTCTTCTAGGGAATTGAATCATAGTACAGGAAAATTGAGCAAATGTTCAGTTAAAAAAAAGATTCTGTCATGCCCACACACATATTTCCGCACAGTTTCCATTTCAGATCTTAATTCCTCTGTCCTGTATTGTAACAAAGGCCCCAGGCCAAAGGTGAAGGAGGATGATTTTGAAGACCTGCTGTCAACTCAAGGTTTTGCCTCTAAGACTGATAAGAAGGAACCAAGGACCATTGCTGAAATGCGAAGACAGGAGATCACAAAAGATATGGATCCACTTAAATTACAGGTAATAAATAAGGATATGTTACACTCTGAACAACACAAACACTATTCAGAAATAATCCTTGAGTAAATGCAATGCAGATAAAATGCTTTTGCTTGTCACTGGATGGTCAGCAGTTCAGTCTTTAGATTAGCAGGATAAATCTGTTGGAGAGCAAGTGAAAGAACAGTGTTCATCTTTCTCATATTACCACTAGTGAGGTGTGCTTGAGCCAGGTCTTTTACTGGGCAGCTTCCAGGTGTGAACATGTATAAAGTGTGAACATAGTGTTCCTGAAAAGCAGCTCTTAGCAAAATGTCCCTAAATAAATGAGCATTAAAACATGCTGAAAAGTTTTATTGTCGTGCTGCAGATCTTGGACTGGATTGAGGGGAAGGAGCGAAACATTCGAGCACTGCTGTCGACTCTGCACACGGTGCTGTGGGAGGGTGAAACCCGCTGGAAGCCTGTGGGAATGGCTGACTTGGTGACACCCGACCAGGTGAAGAAGTATTACAGGAAGGCTGTGCTGGTTGTCCATCCAGATAAGGTACAGTATGCCAGGTCAGGAATAAAAGCAAACATCCTCTTCTAAAACAGTGACAAGGCTGAATTGTAGACCTTTTATCATGAAGGCTGTTTTCAACAAGATTAATAACTCAAAGCTCAAATGTTCTTTCTTCTTTGCTAATATGTAAATGCTTGCTTTGCAGGCAACAGACCAGCCTTATGAACAGTACGCTAAGATGATCTTCATGGAACTGAGCGACGCCTGGTCAGAGTTTGAGAACCAGGGATCCAAAGCACTGTTCTAAAGCACTGGTTTGGGTCCCAGCTAGACCAGACCAGACTGGACTGGGTTGGCCTAACCAAAGGGTTAGACTGGGCCAGATTGGACAGGACTGAGCCCACATTGGGCCTTGGGGACACAGAGCCTCTGAGAGGTGTCCTCTCTACCGTTCCCTTCACTCCCTTCTTCCTTCTTTACTTTCTTCTGCTTCTACAGTCATTGAAAAAGACCTTTTGCCTCAAGTCTGGCTTTACTGAAAATGTCCTCACTGGTTCATAAGTAGACAGTTAAATAAACATCGTGATCATTCTTAAACTCACTGCCTACCTGTAAAACTGCCTGAGTGGTGCTGCAAACATCAGGATTGAGAAAAGGGTGACAATCACATGAAGAAAACAAAATGGAAAAGAAATCAGATAATATGAGGACTTGAAAACCACCGGGATGATTATCATGACAGTGATATTCAGACTGAAAGATTAAGTGGCCCAACACTAATAAAATGCTGGGAAATGTCTCTGCGGCTGGTAAGTTTGTCGTTTGTGTATGCCATTTTTGCAAACAACCAGTCATTTAGCTGAGCGAAACATTTCTGTAAATGTTTCAGCATGCCAGAACAACATGGAAGTTTGCAAAATATCAATTGAAGGTTATATTTTTAAGCTTAGCTGTCTCAAAACAAATTGTGGATGAAGCTTGGAATGTACCTTCCACAGCAGCCAGTGGACAAAAACCTCCTATCTTGCCTCTAATGCAAAAGCAGGATTTTGAAACATGGCAGATCTGCTGATACTACCCTATTAATACACTGAAGCATTCTGCTGCACCTTTTGGGGTTAACACTTGGCTGGGTTTGTTCTTGAGCCAACACTACTTGTGCTGCTTCTGTCTTGACAGTTATTGCTACACACCACACTCCACAGACTGATGATAAAACCTGCACCCTAAACGTCTGACTTCTGACGAAAGAGCCGAACTTGTTTCTGAACACCTAAGTGGGTAGTCTACTGCTTGAAGTGCTCTTTGAATTCCATCCACTCGGGCTGCACTGTGTAGCTTAACTGCATGCTCTACCACACCAAACCTCTTAAGACAGCAGGAGAGTGGTGTGTTTGACATCGAACCAGGGTCGTCCAACGGGGCTCTTTTATTGAAGTGCTCTTTTTTCTTGTAGCCAGCGCTCACACTGCTCATTGCTTTTGAGCATCTTTGTCATCACTGTCATTAATAACGCCTCTCTCTGTCTCTGTAAGTCCCACCCATCTCCAGTGCCTAATTCAGTGGACATGTTTTTTTGTGTTTGTGCATAGGACATCAAAAAGTGAAGGAATGAAAAGAGAATATGTTGATTTAATTTAGTTTTATTGTAGGGTTTGTGGGGAAGGGGCTTCACTCTGTGTTTGTGTTGAGGTTTTTGTCAGTTAATCGTCACTTGTGTAAATATAAAATATCCTCATCCATCAAGCAGCTTTAAGATTAGGATTGTGTGAATGGTGATGTGACTGCATGTGCTCATCGAGCGGAGGAAAATGATGAAATCTTGTTGGACGTTTTCTTGTCTTCAATCACAGTCTTTTCTTTATTAGTTTAAATTCTTTTTTTTCCAGTATTTATTTTTGGGGATGTTTGTCTCCTCAAAAATCATTCCATCTTTTGCCCTTTATTTGTTTTTTTTAATTTTGCATTTTACCTCATAGACCAGTCAAATCACCTGTGTTCTTATGTTTTTTGGGGGGGGGGGGTATAATGACATGTATTCAAGCATATTAATGACACAAGTAAAACAAAATCAGATAATATATAAGTGGAGCGTGCTGAGTGCAAGTTGGACAGTGAGCCTCTGTTGCTGTTTTCATTCCAAAGCTAATTCTTAAAACGAATGTGCTTTTACAAATATGTATCCTCTCTGTTGTAATGTGGTATGTTTGTCATTCGTCTGTTCACTCTATTATTTAGTTTTTTACTTTTCGTGTTTCTTCTTAATGCACTTGTTGCTTCTCTTTTGCATTTTGACATTCTGTTAAAATTCCAACATGAGGGGCCAGTAAAGTCATTTGAAATGACCACAGTATAACGATCATAGTATAAAGAGGGGGGACTGCAAAGCTACATATTGGCATTGTTTATACCAAATTACATCATACTAATATGAATGTAGATTTCATTGAAAAAAAATTAAAAATCTTTTGATCTGAGGCAAATATTTAGTTTTGTCTTTATTTTGAGGAGTTACAGCGACAAGTTGATGCTACCACCAATTCATTCATCAGCACTGTTTGTTTATGATAATGTGTTATGAATTAACCAGCTCAATTGTCCCTAGACTACAAATTCTAAAATAAAAGTCTACTTGACAGTCGTCACACCCAACAAATAAGCATCTGGGTTAACATAACCTTTTTTCTGTTTAACCGCTAAATATTCCCTCAAATGAAACCTGAAACCCTTCAGCTACAATTACCGATCCAACATTAATTTTACCTCCCATGGTCCAACAGCACTGCAGTTGTTACATAATCAGCATTTTGGTGTTTCATTGCTTTATTTGAAAATTAGTCATGATGTAAACATAAGAGCTTCAAAGATCTTTCACAGAAGTTGCATCACTAAAGATTTTTTTTCAGTACAGAAGTAACCTGAAAAACTCAAAATATATATTTTACATATAACATTCTCTTGTTCTATGACAAGATTAATGCATTTCTAACTTTTTCTTATAGCCTGAAACTGTATCAAAAGTGAAAAACATTCTTAAACACCACAATAAGCTACAGTACAGCTTTATTTCAAATTTAGAGTAAGTCAGACCATCACACAGTCCATTAGTGATCCTCATCACCAGACTATATCACACCTCCCTGCAGAACACAAACTTTGAACAAAAACTCTATCACATCATATGGTCTATACAAAATGATTTTTTTTAAAGAGAAAGTGAGGATTTGATTTGATTTATTCTATCAAGCATGTAAAGACAGTTGATATGTCAACACACATAATTTTACACATATCCAACAAATGCTAATCCAATATCAATTTGCTTATACCTAGTACATGCTTGAATGGAGTAGGAAGAAGTCAGACTTATCCAGTCCTACCCCATGACATCATCTTACCATCATTGGTTTGCAAGCAGTATCTCTACATAAATAATTATCTTCTACACCACACAAGTAATATACTAAAAAAATTATAACAG